GGGGGGGGGGGGGGGAGGGGGGTGGCGGGAGGCAGGAAGAGAGGGTGAATTGAAAAGGAACAAGGGTGGAATGAAAGTTTGATGTAAACGCAGCAACAGGAAAGGAATACTTAGCTTAATTTGATCTTGTGAAATTGTAAATTATATTTTTTTTATTATGAAGAATAAAATGATGAAAGCTATTCGGTTAAACTTGGACAAATATATTTCGAAGCATGACTGTGGGAATTGAAAAATAGTTAAAGTTATTTTCGAGAAGTTAAACACCTATTTCAAGTGTTTTGTAAAGTAGGAAAATTCACAGTTTCTAATTTATTTTTAGATTTTTCTAAAATATCTATTCTAACAAATCTGATCACCACATAAAAGAAATTATTTGACTAAAATAGTGCAACTTGGTACCTTTTATGGCAAAATTCAACAGATTTTAAATAGCCTTCATGTATCCATTTCCAAATTTCACCTTCGCGCCTCCTAGGAGAAATTAAAGATGAACTGTTAAGTGGATATGATACTTTTAAACGAATAGGGACTAAAATTTTTTCTCGAAAATCTATTTTAAATTTTTCTCCTTCTTATGATTTACCCTATTGTTGAACATGACTTTAGATTGAATACCTATTCGTAAATATGCATTGGTGGATGATACTTTTCATTCCATAAAGGTCTCTAGAGGGTTGAAGATTCAAAATCATACCAAGTTCAAAAACCATTTATTCGAACACAAAGATTGTGATATTTTTGGCAGAAATACATGTTAAGATCGATGACAAGACTTCCTGCATAATACATTTACATAGCTTCTATTGAGACAGATCGAAAGGCCATATTTCGAAGGCTCGGTAAAACCTTCAAATCTTCATATATTCCCTTAATTAGAGAATAATTTTTATTTATATTTCTTCCTAAGGGCAAGACCATATCTCTGAGATGGCACAGGGTTTCAAAAACTGTATTATGAATAATGACATTATCAATAGACAATAAGTTTATACTTGCTGTTGTATTGTCTACCTCGAAGTAGTAAACATAAATGATTAAGCAATAAATAAATTTATGACTTATTCATCGTACTGCGGCAGTAAAAGGTAGTCAAAATTTAGCAGTATTCATCCATACATTGCCTATACGAAACATTTTTAAGTAGGCTATCATCAATTCAATTTTAAACATAATTTTCATTTTTCTACCCTTTAAAAGACTTGTTACGTCACCACCGGAAGGGAGGGTAGGGGGGGGGGGGTTGAACTGTTCAGTAAAACGAGAGGATTGGGTCAATTAAAGCTTATCACAAGTTTATACCCTCAATAATATAATGAGCTTTCGCCTACTGAATACCTTGTTCCTTGATTCAACAGTTTTCTGGTCTCCAATACAAGCTTTAATTAAAGCTACCACAGTCTTTATTTCGGGCACTAAATCTGTCGATTATAATTATGGTAAAAAGCTGATTGGAGCTGCAACTACCACTGCCAAAATGGTCATATTCTGTTGTTCTTGATAAATTGGGAGTGACGTTGGCAGTGAGACTTGGACATTCAAATTACCAGAATACAGAGCTAATATTATGCTGAAAGAAAAAGAGGCACATAATAGCAACGAAATATGCATTAGACTCATTTTCTCGCATACTGCAGATATTAACTGACTATAAAATTTCGCATTTGATTGTCGAAATTTTATTTCAAGTATCACCTTTGTTACATTTGACTTTATTAAATAATTTTTTTACATAAGCTTATATCTCAGATAGGCAGTTGATTAAAACCTCATGTGTTAAAGTCAAGTGTGCATTTCTTAAGTACTTGTAATCGAATTATAATTCGAACAAAAGACTTATTGAGAGTAATAAATTAATGATCTGTGTGATTATGGATTAAATCTATAAGATCATATTTAACCAAAATAATAATCTTATTGAAACAATAAAGTCTCATGAAAGTTAAAAAAACATAATATTTTCGTTGACTCACAGGTGGGATAACTTGTTTAGAGGTCAAAGGGATGCCATTTTGCTGGGTGGCCGTATTGTCATCATCAAAGCTCTCCATCACTCGACGATGAATCTTAAATACAAATAAACAAATAAAGTCGAAATACAAATACTGATTTAAAAGTGATTCAGAAACGTACATTTCCGCTGGCATCGGTAGTATCAATTACTTCTCGGACTACAGTTCGTTCTTTACCCTGTGCATCAAGACGTTTTTCTTTTGTCACAGTTCTTTTTATCACGTTGTTAGAGTCTAAGACATAATTTAAGATTAATTAAAGCGACAAAAGTTTATTTCATGTTTGACAAATTAGACTTACTGGTGTTAGCAACTTCATCATCTTTAGATGTAATGGCGCGAAATACATTGTTTTTATATCGACCTCGAACGTTTCCAGGAGGTCTATAGTGGGCCACTACCACATACTGACCGTTGCCTCGAGCTTTCCCGAAACCAACTTCTCGCGTGGCCGCCCAAACCATCTGCGTAAAATTTCCTATAAGATAGTACTTCATTTGTTAATAATACAATAGGATAATAGCACAGATTCATAATTTCATTAATTGTGTTACCTGCTGGACCAGCACCGGAATCAAAGTCATAACTATGAATGTCATTATACCATTGCGAGATAAGAGCAATAGCTATTCAAAAAATCACATGTTAAACTGACTTACCGGATATATCAGCATTATTAGAGGTACTAATTCGTTTGCTTATACTTTCACCGATTTCTCCTTTATTGGATAGGGGGCTATTAGTTACTGTTTCTTTTTGAAGGAGAGTTTCAGCCCATTCTTGGGCTGTTTTGTCAAGTGCTATGCTGTGGCGAAGAGGCTCAACTCCATGTAACTTTCTATATCTATTATGCTCTCTAAGGCACTCGTCAAAAAATTCTTCATTATCATTCATGAGAAGAACAGTTCATAAAAATACCATCCGGGATATAAATTATAAATACCATTTTGATAAGTTCAAACAAACTATTTTTAAATATAGAATCGATGAATTTTATCCAACTACGTCTGAATTTTTATTATGATATTAAATTTATCTATATAGGTATACTAAATTCATTATGCAATGTGATTGCATAAAGAAATTGTTTAAAATTTTAACATGATTCATAGCCTCAAGAGAACTTTTGCTATTTTAACTGCTTTTGTTAGAAAAATAGTATTCTGAACTTATGTACATAGTTGGGGCCGAATATTTATTCATCGATTCCACATGGAACGTATCACTATCTATTATTGATTGTCATTCATTAATAATGTTTAAACTAATTAATCATCTATATTATGGGTACAGAATCCAATTCAGCCTTTTCTCTGTTAAATAATATTTTACCCTCTATACATATTGGTCTTACTAAAGCCAAAATACGCAGTAATCGATATTTCCCATTTCTTATTATCTTAAGTTCAATCTCGTCGTTTTTAGGAGTAGTTGTTCAACGTTAAAGCTTATGTTTATAACATCAAATAAAAAGAAAGACTAGTAAATTATGTTCAATGAAGGCTATTGTACCTGGATATTGAAAGAAGTAATGCGTTGAAATAATGTAAATCATAGAGATTCAACGGCATTAAAACTAGCTGCTTCACGTTAAGGCAATTTAAATATGCAATAAATATTTTCGCTTTAAGTGAATGGCATATTTTAGCATTCTGCAACACCAGATCATTCGTTTTAGGATTCGTAAGATTTTCCTTTATTCAATTCACACATATTTAAGCGAAAATCATGATTACCATATGTACAGTACAGTGATTAAAGTGCATATTCTTTTGTTAAGTAATTCTGTGGGAACTAATGAAAATGTGAATTCGTACATATCGTAAAAAGTTGAGACTACGTCAGATGCAAATCTAACGAAAATGAACGACTCATAAATGAATGAAATGCACACAACATTGCCTCACTAACAAATGCAACGTGGTTTGAAAAAAAGATCAATCAACGCTTAAATGCCCTTTCTCTTGTACTTTCATCAAGCCTACTCATTTGTCCCTAAGCATTCAAAACATAAAACACTGAAGATAATGACATAAGAACAAAATGATAATGAGCTTTGGTGCTATGCCTTTTATTGTTGGAATTCAAAAATATTATCACTACAAATCTCACAATAAAAGGGTTTTATAGTTCAAATACTTAAGTAATTCCAAAAATCTTAAATACCATTGTCTACTTAACCAATTTCTCGCAATCGTTAACATCTTCCCTGTGTAAGATTGTTAATAAATATTTTTCACAAGGAAAGTAGCGAAAAAACATTTAATAGATGCTTTAATTAGTCTGCATGTATTTTATTTTGTAATTGCCAAACTATGTGCTTCAGCACCCAGAACCCACAGGATGCCATAGCAACTAGATATACCGCCAACTTAAAATATGGATTACTCCGATTTAAATATAAAAATAGAATATTTGGCTTCCTGTGGAATAATTTTAACTCCAGAACAGAAAGCGACTTTGCAAACGTCATTGACGTTACTCAAATATGAACAAAAATTTACAGCTGTTAACTTCTGGGGTATAATAAAAGGAATTCATGGCGATTATTATATCGCACAAGGCATAGGCAAAGATTACCTAAAAGGTATTAAAAACCTCTACAGTAAAGATTGCATAACTTGGTGTTTGATGCCTATTCCTTCCAAATCCGATATTAAAAAGTCTAAGCACTTTAAAATGCGCTTTACTGGCGATCCACAGAATGAATTTGAGATCACCAAACTTGATCAAAATCTGAACGGCGATGAAGTTGTTCAAGATGAAGAAAAAGTTTGCATTTACGTTTTAGTGACTTTAAATTCCAGATCAAAATGAAGGAAGAAGATAGATTAGCAGCTGTTATAAATAGGATTGATAGTGATGTACGTACAATTCCAAAAGGGTCATTCATTCGATTGCCAACCGGTCAAATCATAAGAAATCGGAACTACGAAGGATTATCATTCGCCGATTCATCAAAACTATCGTCTTACCTTCATTTCAGGAAGCCGCTCGAGCATCTTCAATTCCCACCTGAAGATACCTGCAATGCAAACAGGGCCACCGATTTTTTAGACACGCTTGAAAAAGACATACCAAAGGGTATTTAAAAATTCAAAACTAATAGACCATTTAGGCTGCTGGACATTGCTGTTTGAACGCGGAAACACAATTGTATACCTCAAAAGTCTTTTGTGGTTAGGATATATTCTCTTTCATATTCCTGAAAAGCCCATCTACGGAAGCATCTATGTTGGCTATGGCGATTATAATATTGATCTTCCCTTTATGCTTTAGCTAATTAAAAACACGTATACCAATTATAAATGCTCTTTTGCAGGAATAATTCAAAATTTAAAAGCAAATCAACAAAAATGAGGGAGAGAAGGCAAGGGAACTAAAGATTAGACGAGCAAGGTTGCGCTAATTGGCCGATCTCCAAGAATCCTTCTATAACGCAAAAAAAACGCCAAATAAAAGCCTTCGCAAAATGAAAGTATTGAGAGTATATAAGTTAAATTAGGTTCACTAAGCTGTTTACTAGCTTAAATGGTTGCCACTTTGTTGATGAACTAAATCCAACTTTCAATTATTTAAAATAAACTGGGCATCTCTAGGATGTAGCCAATAGCTTATTGTGGTAGCAAGGGTACGATCAATTTTTAACTAGCGGATTTTTCAGAATAATGTATGAGAAAAAATGGTACTATGTGAACTGGCTGGCAAAAAAAGATTTTGCTTAGAAAATGAAATGACTTACGTTGAGAGATAGACGCAAGGCTTCTTGAAAGTCTGCTTCTTCGTCTGTCTGCAAAATTCCATTGCTGGTACCCGGACGAGAGTCCTGCTAAAGAAGACATGACAAACCATTTATAGCTAAGCGCAACGAGATTAAGAAAAGATGTGCCCAGAACGATTCGTTCATGTTAATTTCATTTTAACAACTTCAGTTCGTTCAATTAGAGATGGCATTCGAGTACAGCTTTAAATTTTATTAATCTGATAGGAGCAATTATTACAACTACATTTAAAGAAAATAATGGTGGTTCACCCAAACCTCCCCCACATTTTCTGTGAAAATAGCAAATATGGAACCCAGAAGAAAAAGATCGAGCGACACACCACCCCCCCCCTCTCGTTGAAAAAATAGAAAATCTGCGTTTAAGATGATTCAATTAGTTGCCTCAGGAATCGATAGCCCTCAATACCATGCAATCAAATACGGAATCAAACAAATCAATCAACTTAAAGTTCTGATGAGGTGAAGCCCAGCTTACTATGCTATGCTATTATTTTTTAAATTAGTGGCATTCTGATCGATCGGAAATAAGAAATGGTTTCAAGCTTTTAAACAAATTATTACTAATACCAGATTTCCTACAAGGAAGGATCGCAAAATAGTCTACCTTATCGAGGACCATAAAAATATAATTTCTAAACCGTCAATTCTAGAAAAATCACATCGCTATATTCAGACAAAGCTTAAGGTGTGATCATGTAAATTAAGATTTTCAAACATATAATAGAATTGAAGTAAAAAATAAGCATAAATAGCCTTTCATTTAAGCCTTATAGTGGATTCCACTGAGAGCAAATTTAATTGTCAAAAAAAAACAATTTACTCCATGATATATTTTAAATAAACATTACGAACCTGAACCGATAATCGAAGAGCCTCCATCAAATCTCGTTCCTCGGCCTCACGACGGGTTTGAGCTAGAATTGACTGAAGTGAGGCATCTTGTTCGTCAGTTTGCAAACTCAGCTTCAAGGCTTCGAGCAGTTCCGGGTCTTGTTCAGGATTCGTTGTATTGCGAATGGTAGTAGTGGTTTGACTAGTCAGATAGGACTCTGATAATGGATTAATCTAAATTATATGAAATAACGAAAACTTAAAATCAGCCTATGGTTAGACAGAACATGACACTATTAAGATAAAATCACCCGTAAATATTGATCCGCTTCACATTCAGGCAAGGTACCAGTTATAAACCAAATAGAATATCCATCACTATTTAGTTGAGTGAGGTACAAGGCGAGGTAAGTTGGCGTCAACAATCGAGGTTGGGAATGCAACGAATTTAAATCGAACCATTGGCTGCCAAGACGACGAATAGCAAGCCAATGCATGTCAAAGTGACAAATGAAGGCTTGCTGACCAGCCGGATTTGCTCTTGCCGCTTCAGCCTCGGGGGTTCTACGCATGTAGGGTACTAGCTCGATACCTAGATTTTGAAGAGCTACGGTAATAACCTAAGCATGCGAGAGATGAACATTTAGAGCACTTAGGGATAATGAGATAGGCTCTCAAAATTGAATATTTAGGTACCTGAATTGAAAAGTCTCCAGATTCATCACAGTTGACACTTTCTATTCGCTGATCAGTGCGGGTGGCACGTTCCCGTTCATCAAGATAGTTGGCAATTTCGGCCAATGACTCGACAGTGAAGTAGGGGCCCTGGAGAAGGCTGTTTAAGCAGTGTTGAGCACAACATCGATCTAATTGCTACAAAATGTGAATAGAATTAACGTTTAACGAACTTTTTCATGATATATAATATCCATCGAGGCATTAAACGCGAACCAAATATATGAATCCGGGCTAGTTTATCAACTCGACCTTGAGTAAAAAAAGTAACTTAAGTGAAATAACACAGTGAACTGGAATTTTATGCACAGGTCTAAATTTTGTCCAAGTTGTTAAATTATGTTCCACCGTAAACGTTTAGCATATGATTAATCAAATCAAAAAATAGTAATGCTAGTCAATTTTTAAATTTTTGATTAAAATTGTAATATTTTGTTAAATAGAATGACGATAAGCGTTGCTTTTGTGTTAACGATTTTATTGTCTTTCTTTTCACTCGCGGCGAATTCAAGACATTTTGTCTTCAATTGGTAACTTAATAATGTTTTCTCGTAAAAATAAGTTGGAAGAGCAGTTAAAACAGGGCCAACGAGAAAATAGGAGAACGCAGCGTGAGCTAGAACGTGACAGACTTCAACTTGAGCGCAGTGAAGCTCAATTAAAAGCCGAAATCAAACGTCTAGCGGCCCAAGGCAATAAGGATGCTTGTACCATTTTGGCTAAACAACTTGTCAAAAATCGCCAGCAGATTGCCAGAACATATGAAATTGGAGCGAAAATGAATGGAATTGCTAATCAGCAAACGCTAATGAAGTCAAATATGAAAGTTGCTAATGCTGCCAAGACCAGTGCTGGAATAATGTCCACCATGAATAAAGTCAGCTTTGTCTTCTATTTATTTTAAATTTCCGATTCTTTTAATTAAAATGTTGTTTTCTATTTAGCAAATGGATAGTTCTAAAACCATTGAAGTTATGAAGAATTTCTCCAAGGAGAATATGAAACTATCCATTGCTGAGGAAGCAATGGACGAAGCTTTGGATAATATCTTCGGAGATACTGCGGATGAAGAAGACGCCGTTGTCAATCAAGTTCTTGATGAACTTGGAATTGAGACTGCCTCAAAAATAGCTGGCGCTCCCACTCCTTCTAGCGGTTCTTTGGCCGCCAGCAGTGTCCCAGCTCGTGATACAGAAGATATCGAAGCTCAGTTGGCAAGGCTTCGGGGAATTTAAAGCAATTCTTCTCTGGTTTGGCTTTTCCCCAGCAAATGTAATCAACGTTTTTTTATTTTCTTCTTACCGACTGTATTAGTACCTCACTGCTCCAGCTCATTTCTTGTATTTCACTAAGTTCCTCTTACTTATTATCAGATTTTTGAACTTCTCATGTCTTTTTTTTATTTTGAGATATATGCGAGTGACCCGCAAGTCATTGGTTTATTTTTTTGCAGTTTTTTCTCTTTTGTAATCCGTTTATCATCATATCATAATTTCCCTTAATCGATTCTAATGATCAAAAGTAGAGGAATTGATTTTATAGTTTTATTCACCGCTCGCAAGTACACTACTAATTTGAACGTTATTTCATTGCACAACGACTTTCCTTATTTGCTAGAAATAGCCGTTCGTTTTTTCGCCTACTTGTCACATTTTATCCACGTGCTTATCGCAATACTTTATAATTCTCTTATATACTGAAAGTGTCATTCAAGATTTTTCCTTATTTAGTACGTGCCATCGTTTTATGTCTTTATGCAACTTTAACATTACGCTTTGTTTAGAAGGCTAAACTTAAATGAACTCACCCACTTCGCTTTTATCCTCTTGTCACTAATGTTTTGGTACTTCTGTTCTTTTTTCTCTACTTTTTTAAAATGATCTCTTCTGTTCAGCAGTATTTTTATTGGAACGGCACCTAATTAGAAGAACTTGGGGATACTTAGTTTGTCTCGGGTAGTTTCGGGTGTTTTCTGATGTATAGTGGATATTTACTTTGAATAAAAGTTTGATTATCATTTATTATTCATGGAAGTCGGCTTACTGGTCTACTTACCGATTCACTACATTTAGGGTAACGAATTTTGAGCCCTATTTGTAATGATCCTTTAGCTTAAATTTTACTCAATTACTTAGGATGCAGGAAATCCTCAAAGTCAACAGTGTATTGGCAAGTGAATTATACAATAACTGATTCAATTTAAGAGGCAACCAAAAAATCCAAATAAATTATACATGTATTAATAGATAGTGGGGGGCAGGGAGTCGATGGATAAATGCCGGTAGATAAATATAAGTGCGGCTGGAGAGAAAGAGTGAGAGGCTAAACCAGGAGTTTGAGGTTGTGAGTAATTTAAATACTGGCTAGTTTGTTATATAGTAGTTATTTCCTTAGCGTCTAGTTAATTTCTCGCAAGGCGCAGCACAACATTAGAGAGAAAACCATTCCGCAGATCTAAAATTGAAAGGGATGCATTAAAAATTAAGTTCATCATAAACTAGCTCATAATAAACTAAGATCACGAATAGCGACTTAATCAAGTTCTATATGCTATCGTAATCATTGACCAAACTTGGCTTTATTTATAAGGTTAAGAAATGCGCCATATTTGTTTTCTTGATAATGATATTTTAATTTAATTAGTTATTCCTACAGTGGGTAGTGGCTAAATCGCTTTAATATCCATTTTTCGGTCAATACAAACTTCGATTTTTGCACACTAAATAATTCACATCTGATCTTATCGATTTTTCAATAGCCTACTTTCAACTGCTTTAAGTCTTCAACTGATTTGTTATACACGCCTTCCATCATTTCGTAACTTTAAATAGAACCTTTAAGCATTTATAATTTGACTCAGGTGATTTAGACTTCACGTGGGAGTTAATTCACACTAGGATACTTGTGCTTACATTTTTAAGAGCAGACAGCTGTAAATTTATAAATCTTGGTGGAGGGGGGGGACTGTTGCTTGCTTACCATGATTACACCAAATCCAATGCCGATTCCCGTCATTGTTGCAAGGTTATTTTCGGCTGACTGTAATATGCTTGTCTGGCAGCCCTGTGTAATAAAGACAATTAGTAATTGTTACAAGCACTTGCTAGAAATTGTAGAAAAATTATTTTGAGAATCACAAAGAACTAATTTCTTCATTTGCTTAAATCATGAAGTCGCAAATGGGAATGCCTGTGATTTTTTATTTTCTTGAGATCTCTTGTTGGGTTATGTTTCATAATTAAGATTGTATAGCATGATGTTTTCGGGGATACATATATCAAATCATTAACTTAAACCAATCTTGTTTTGGTCCCACTCCTTTTGGCTCTAAGTCGATTAAAGGCTTTGTAATTCAAAATGTGGCAGTAGCAACACTTCCGTCTTTTAAATTTCTCATTTGTTTCTACCTTAATTGAAATCATTTTAGCTAGTTGGAATGTAAGGCATCAAAATATTGGCGCGAGATTAACCCGTCCCACTACTAGTTCGACATTTTGTCTCCCTCGGTAAATGTCTCATTGTAGTCTAGGTGTCCTGTATCCAAATTGTCCTCAGGGTTATAGTTTTTTGAAAACCCCATATATAAAATGAGGGGAGTGATTGGAAGGATCCAATCATTAACAAATTCTGGTAAGTAAATGGAACGATACAATTCAATGTTTTGATAAGATTGACAAGTGACGTCAAACGCAGGGGCATTTGAACGCAGCCATGAGCCTGCTGATTTTTCAGTGATATTCCGCCTGAAATGTATGAATCCTAGTTTAGCTTAACTATTAGAATGCTTGTCCAACTTTAATAAGGATAAAACGATCCCTTTAACCCATGTGTTGTCGAATTAAGTTTAGCTGAAGTACCCTAGATTCATGCGTTAATGAAAATGCAGGCCGTGCAATTTCGACTTACGGGTCGGCGAGATTGTTCGAGGCTACTTTGACCACAACTGGAAGGTATTTTAGAAAGCTTGTAATCCTCAATACCTAAGGCACCACAGCAGTTGAACTGAAACGAGAATATTGTTCTACTTAAAATAATTAAGTAGAATCATACACAACTCGCTTTAATACATAAATAGAAAATGCATAGCATTAACATGCTGTTTTTTATGAAACTTCAGGGAAACTTTTACTTCCTCATGCTGGCCGATTCTTAAATGTTGGTCCCATTTAAAGGTACTCCAAATAATTGCAAAGCGAAACGTGGAGAACAATCTTTTAAAAAAGGTGTTTTGTGTTTTATCTGAGAAGGTAGAGTGAAGTTAATTTTTTATTAAATTTCGTTGAATTAATATAAAATTGTCACGCTATAAATACTGCTCCGATACTTCAAAAGTTCACTGCGTGGTATAAGGTTCTTTTAACTATGATATAAATAGTGCATAGGCGCTTTCATGCACTAATTTTATTGCTATAAATAGATTTTTTTCATACACCGAAGAATAAAGAGTTAATCATTTAACTGTGTTCTAATCACAACCACAAAAAAAACAATTATCGATAAACCAGCAATTGAGTAATTATAGCTGTCGCTAATGCTTCAGCAAAGGATTTTGATTCGATTTCCTTGTGAAACTAATATATATTAGCAGAATTTTCGAACTTGTCACTCAGAAGGAATAATCACACATCGTAGATGTTTTTTAGTTCAAGTTTGAAAGTTTCAATACTCTTAGAATTAATTTTAAAAGGTCCCGTGAGTTGTTTTTTAAATTGAAATTTTCATGTTAGCTCTTATAATTAGGAGCATAGCAGAATTAAGCAGATATATCCTTTCCTTACTAAAATGATACTGAATTGTTCCCATATATATTATTTATTAAAATACAATTCTGTTTCAATAAAACCTTAGCAGTAACTAAATATGCATTCAATTACCTTTGCCTGGATGAAATTCAGCAGTTTGATATCATCGCTATTGCCATCTGTCTTATAACTTTGAATTAACTTCTCTAAGGATCCATGAAGGTAAACAGGAACCTGTGAACAAAACAAAACAAGATTATAAATAAAATAAATGCAGATTCATAATCTAAACAAACCAAGCTTTGATGGAGTTTTGCTCAACGTGCTCAATATTGCCACTCTAAGTAAAGCAGCATTTTTCAGATCTGGAAAGCAAATGATAGAGGCTGAAAGAACTAGAGGAGATCAAAATTGGAGCTGAGAATAACGTCAATGTTTCACAGATTTTAATAAGTGTATTTGATTCCTTTGAATTTAGTTTCTGCATCATTTACATTCCCAAATTAAAATGCATGCCCCCCCCCCCGGCATTGCAGCAGATGATTTTACACCATATTCAATGCTTATCGTCCAGTTTCATTTAATCAAGAATGGTCGATTTAACCACTTCATGACGTTTTTATCTTCTGATCGTGGAGAAAGCAATTTGATCCTTCATGATTTTAAGTTTGTGCAGATCCATAAGATGCGTGAACTCAAGGTAAACTGTATCCTAGTCACCATCTCCTAACTTCCCCCAAACTAGAAGCGTAACGAATGTTAGCGTCTATTACAAAATGTCGAATGGATAGGCGATAAAAACCGTGGGAACTTGGACTTCATGTTTTCATTTTTTTAAAAATGGGCTTTTCATTGTTCCATTCTTTTTATGCCATTTACTATACGAAACAGTGATAATGTCAGAAATTTATGCATATCAAGAAATAAATTTCTTGGCGCAAATGCAAATTAGATCATTATCTGAGCAGTTTACCACTTCTGGCAAACATGACTAAATCGGTACCAATTTTTAAAAGATGTATAGATTAGTTTAACCAAAATTCATGTTAGCACAGTGGAAGGTATTTCTCAAACTTCCCGTATCCTTCCAAAACTGTCATTCTAATGACCACCGCAGACTCATATTTACGCACAGTCCTACCAAGTGCATTTACATAATTGGATGTTTAAGACATTGACGTCTATCTCAAAGTACAAATTGATCTGCTCTGAAACAGTCGAATTTTCCTTAATTTCCTATAGAAGTGGAGTATCCAAACAAAGCGAACTTTAATGTCATCATATGCTGATTTACGGTTATTATAATATTTAAGTAGGCAAACATGCCTAAATCACTGCAAGTCCTTGAAGCATCAAGTTACAAAAAATCGACGAAATCTGCGTACAACAAAATTAATGTAGAGTTGGTGGATAGCCAAATAACAAATTTAATATAAAGAAGGAAAGTTCAACTAAATTCCACATTCAAGCATAGCTGAACACATTTCAAGTTTAAATTTAATGAAAAAATACATTAGATAAGGTGACAGCTAGTGTACCTATTTAAATCTCAGCGTAAAATTTAGTTTAAATTTAAAAGAAAAGAAATCGGGTAAAGTTAAAGTCGAATACAGTTAGTGGGACAAAGGAGTATTTCCAAGATGCGCAATTTCGTTAATTGGTAACTTCGGTACATCAGGTTTCAAAAGTCAGTTTGCCTGATTCATCAAATTTGCAATTTGTAAGGGGGGGGGGGATTTCAAACAAGAATTGAAAATAGACTTTACTTAAACTAATCTCTCACTAGGAACGAGGCATTTTTGCTCGTAGTATGCGTAAATTGTTATGGGAAGTGTGATAAAGCCAGCGAATGCCGGAGTGTGCGAAGACATATTGATCCCACTTCTGCCTAATTTGGGGTGTGTGTGTGTGTTGTGTTGTGTTGCAGTGTGTACGAAAAGTCGATACGCGTTCAAAATACTTGCAGTTCGGAAAACGACGCGATTAATCCGGTTTGAAGAGAAAAAAACGTTTGACTCCTTTTCACCTGTTGTTGCGCAATTTTGAACACAAATGAAATTCCAATTGCTTGATTTAAAGTCAGGACAAAGTTTATTTAAACTAGGAAAGTAGAAGCAGTTTAGTGTTGAACAGAGGGTCAGTCGAAGTAAAAAATGTTTTGAAGTGCAAATCTTTTAAATAAAATGCTCTTAAACTTTATATAATCATCAGAAAAAAATTGGAAAAAAATGTATGCGAATATTCAGACATACCCTTGGTTTCCACGCAACTGCCCAGAGACCTGCGGCCATAAGAAGGATGAAACACAGGTAAATGGAGAGGAAAAACTAAAAAATATAAATATTTATGAGAAAAATAACCATATTTCAGTAAGACAAAATTTATAAAATAACTCGCGTTTCTAGCTTTCGTAATGGCTTGTAAATCTCCAAATCAAATGTATAAAAAAAAGTCAATAAAATAATCAAGATTAGTTCGATGAATGTATTTCACTTCCTGTTGTCCCACAATGTAGCATTTTCAATAATACTGAAAAAAATCAGCTAACTTAATTAACGTTTGGTAATTAAATTCTGACATCAGTAACCCAGTTGTACTTTACCAATACACGTCCAAGATGACAGTCGCAAACTGCGATCAGTTCCGGGATTTTGACACGTCTACTAATCACTTGGGGTCAGGTTCGTAAAGCACAGGGAGTTAAATTTCCGAAATCCCTCTTAACTTCCTGCCATTTCAAGGATGTTATTTTAAGTTCTTGGTGAAATCCCAATTGCAGAGGCAAAGGCCAAATCTATCTCAACTCTTCGCAGATAAAATTTTGTATTGTTATCGAAACATTAGTAGTATGAAAAGAAGATGTTTGCCAGAGAAGAAAGTGAGACTCGATTGATGAGCCCCATAAATAATATTATCCCACACAAACGAAATCAGTCAAAATTAAAAGCCTGTGGTAAAAATCACCATGCATGTGGAACTTTGTTGACATCAAGTCTTAATAAATAGAATTGAGGTAAGAACACTATGAAAGATATGATATGAGACAAATCCAAACAAAATTAAATTTGAGGAGACAAACAGCCTAATATTTCTGGAGCACATATGAAATCAAATTTATTTTTTTTTCTTAAATAGCCCTTATGTAGAAATAATAATTTAGCTTTCCTTTCTAATTGTTTAAATGTTCTCCTTTACTGTTATTATTATTATGAATTAGAATTGTTAGAATCTTGTGCTTTTAAAAATTGATTCAATTTGCATTGACTTTTACAAGCCACTTTTTAGGTTGCAGCCTTTAAACGCACCGTGTCGAGCATTTTAAAATTCAGGAAACTAACAAACAAGTAGAAGACAGATCCAAAATCACGTCCCTAGTGTCGAGTGAAAAGAAAAGATATTTTTTAACTTACTGAAAATAGAAGAGTTTGGCTCTCCCGAATCGCTCCACAACAACCGAGAAATCCCACAAACATTATGATAAATCCAACAGCTATCAATAGATTTGCACCTAAAGAAAAGAGGTATAAAATATTGATCGAATTTTGAATAGACTAGCTAATCACTCGTCATAGGCTATTGTGTACTTTTCTTCTTATTAATTATACTAATTAAAATGATTTCAGGATCAAGGAGAGGAGTTATTTTTTCAAAGGGATGTTTTTTTGAAAATAATTACTAATTTCGCTCACCATTTGCAACTGCGGGAAGATGGGTTTCAAGGGGTCCAAAATGACCTGTTGCCCTTGCAACGATTCCCCAGATAAATGCTACCAGACCCAAAATCTAGAAAAAATGGAAAAATTCTCGTGTAAATTTTAGATTTTGCTTTAATATAGCCCATAATATTAACCAAAGTTCAATTTCATTAACACTCCTTATGAGTCGTTATTTTAACTTGACCTTGTCGAAATATGGTTTATTCGTTAAAATAAATGAGTTTGGAAATTATTGCCTATCGCTATCGATATGATGCCAAAATTAAGAAAATTTAAACAGAAATTATAGTCTTGAATGAGATAAACGCTAAATGTTAATTGAGAGGGACAAAGGCATTAAAATAAATCATTCATTTTTCGGAACAGCGATAGTATTTAAATCGACCTGCCATCATGGTTGATTTCTCTATGTCAATACTACCTGTTTGTTTTATAAATACGCAATCCCGAAAAGCACCATTTCAAATCAATAATTTTTCTAATCGTTAAACTTAAAAGAAAATTAATTTTTCCATTGTTTTTAAGACCTAGTTTGAATGTTAAACTTCAATCAAATGCAATGAAATCCTTCTTACAAATTTCATGACACTATCGCCATTCTATATTGTTCAGTTATTGTTAAATTCATTTTATTCAAAGCATGGACACAAAAAATCGATAAAAGTAAATTAGCGCTAGCAAGTGACTCACCCAAGCAATAAGACAGAAAGCAAAAAGCGCATACTTCACGCATTTAAAGCACCCGGTGATTGTGACTTTTGGCATGACTGAAAGTTTCGCAAAACAAAAAATATATAATTATCCGTGTATTATTAACAGAGGAGAAGGGAGAAAGGGGAGAGACGGTTGTGAAAACGGCCCACTATAGGTGTGCAAACGCGTGTTCGCCTGTGGAGGTAGAACTAATCTTTCCGCCTGAATCCTCTGTGCTGCTTAGCGCGTCTTTTTTGCGTCTACGATTGGTTACTTTCATGGTCACCTTGTCATTGATTGGTTCTACATCCAGTAGAATTATCTTTGGACGACAAGATATTGTGGGCAAATTGTGTTTCTTATAGGATTCCAATTCTGACCTATCTGGTGAAAAGCAATTACTGGTTATGGGATGGACAGATGATAATCTAATTACGTAAATCATGTGCCTGAATAAACATATTTTTATGAAATAGTTTTGCAATTTTATCACCACTTTTCTTTGTCCAAATGTCTACAAATCCAGATGACTAATTATTAAATCAAAGTATTTAATTCACAAAAGAATGTCATGGAGAGGAAATATTAAGCTAGAATTTCGAAATTGCTTTTTCTGTTTCAAAAGCTCGGATTTCATTTGCACTTGCACATAAACAATTAGTTGGCAGTATTTATAAACGAAATATAAGTGGCACATATAAAAAATTTGAAAGTAATTATGTTGCAAGGTTAAAATATTTTCGCATTTGTCTTTAGAAGGAAAGTAAATATTTAGACCAAGCAGAGTAAGCTATTTTCAGGGATAATTTATTCAAACCGTTCTTAATTACCTTTTAAACACTACAAGGTTAACCTTTAGAATACTCCTTCTGGTAGACCTCACAGTTGAAGAACCGATTAGTAGATTATTCATAAACTCAATTTGCCCAGCTTCATCACAACATCCCAAATATTGAAAAAAATCAATTTATTATGGGGGAACGTAATTGCGGCCCCAATAAAACAATACCACATAAGTATGGTGCCACAGGGCCCTAAAGTATAATCCATTTATCATAATAAAAATTAAAAAAGTCAATTCTATTATCATCATCTCTGACAACCATTGCCTGATAGGTTCATATTTAGGCGTTAAAGTGTAAATGGAAGACCTCCATGTACAAACGTTTTCATATTATCGGGGATTTGCAGATTTACATCTATTGTTTATCTATAAAGATTAGAAGATTCAGCCGTCATTGATAGGAACTTTATTCACAATCCAGCATTAGAAACACAGTTACTCTTATCTGAATAGGGCTCTTAAAGTGCTCACTAACACGATGGTGGTCACTTTTACTGCAAGCAAGACCACCACTGTCTGTGTTGGCTAATTTTTAGTGAATGACAGATAATTTATGAAATTTTAATTGTCATAATAATTTGCTTCAATGCACGCTTCGGTTTTCTTTAGTCTCAAAGGCCATTTGATTTCTATTTTGGGAAGGAATGTGAATGTTTCTATTAGCACTGGGAGTAAGAACAACGTTAATCAAAATTTGCGTGCGATTATTGTTAAAAATAGAAGTGGGCTTTGTCGCATGCTGATATTTTCATTTCTTACTGTCATTATGACTACTATTTCAGATTATTACGTATACTGCATGTCAGCAATGCAACTTGATATTGTTTAAACTGAATTTATTAAATTCTAACGTAGTTTACCTCTCTCACTCGATTTTAAGATTATTTTGGGCTAAAATACATCTAAACAGTTATTTTATACTTGATTGCACATACAACTAGTGACTCAAGAGATGCAAGTTTCGTAAGTAAGTTGTGTTGTACCAATCCTTATAACCACGTTTCCAAATTTACTTTAAATTACTAGTTGCTAATCCTCAAACAGTGAGCATAGGTGCGAGCAGCGTTAATTATAGCTAAGTGGGGTGTGCGATGGACTTACCTAAACGTGGTGCCCCCTGGGCAACGTATACGCATATGGCAAATAAGTCCATTAACTGGCAGTTGACTTCTGGCTTCCAACTACCATCACCTCACTCGATGCCATATTCGACTACTTTCACAGTACTCATCTTGCCTTTTCTCTGCCTGTCTGTCTCTGTTACATCTGTGACTCATTATCCTGTCTCCCCCTTTCGACTTTTTGTCACTTCGATGCTCCTCCTCCTCTCTATGAAGCCCGGGGTCAGCTAAATGGCTAATGATAACTATTAAAGCGCCTGTCATTTGAAATAAATAAATAAATAAATTATAGCGAAGTGATTTTAATAAAGGTTGGATTTCGCTAAGAGGTCTTTGGATTCGTGTCTGTTCGAGTGGGCACTCGATTTCATTGCTCAGCTTTGGTAAGGAAAAGCACTCTCCAAGTCTTTCATGATGTAGCGTCGATGGTCGAATGAAATTTCATCCTATTGTGCACACTAATAACCCCAAAATGCATAAAAATTACTATTTATCAGAATTCGCAAATAGGCATTGAGATCACCAATTGCACAAAGAATTCATTTGATTTTTAGCATATTAAACAATAAAATCGTTTTCACTTCCATTGAAAAACCCAAGTATTTGGCATATGAAATTGCACCCACTCACTGTGTTATCTTAAAATTCTACGTAAACCTTTTTTAGATCAAATTAAGCATTCCGAAGTGTTGAGATAAAAGATTTGCTGGTCACCGGATATTGATCTATAAATCGACGGATTTCACTCAAATAAAATGTAGCAGTTCGTAGGGAAGAGGGGAACAAAAGCGGAATTGGTTGGCGATGGATAAAGGAAATGGTTTTCTAAATCGACTTATTGGAATTGAATAAATAAAAGCAAAGAAATTTTGAAATTGTGACTTTTAGTTAATGTTAAAAGTACAATAAAGAATTCAAACGCGAGGTTGCTGGAGGACTGGTGGGCGGGAGATTAATATTTGCACAATGTGTGCATGTTTTTTACATAGAAGGGATAACTAAGGAGGAAATGGAAGTGTTTGGTTTATTGTTAAAGCAGAAATTAACTTTAAGTGCAGTAATACCAGATATCTTATATTCGCAGATGGTCATCCGATGTAGAGCTATCGTGATTAAGGAAGTCAAAATACCCACAAGCAGAGAAGAGTATGGAGATGAGCAAGAGCGTATTGAATAGGACCTAACTACAGATGGAGCCTGGAGGGAAGAGATGTCAGTAGAAGGCAAAACTATGATTTAAAAAATTAGAAACTGATCGTAAGTCCTTGTATACTTGTGAATTTAGGAACGAGGTTGATAAATGGTCCTGTCAAGTCCAAGCATTTCAGCAAACTTAGTTATATTGTCGTCTCAATGCTAGCCATCAATTAAGAGTCAGTGCCGAGGAAAACGGGTGGTCCCGGTTACTAATATCCATTGAAAAAATTTTTCTTTGACAGGTTGGAAACAGGCAAATATAGCTACAATGTATTGAGAATCAAAGGGCACTAGAGACATAAAAGTCTAGAAGGTACTGTTCTTGGCCAGTTATTCTGCGGTGAAATAAATGAGTGTTTGACGAGGGGAGCATACCAAGAACTTACTACTTACTGATTCCGGATATCCGGGTATTAAAGTGTTCAACTCATGACAATGTAATTCGAGATATTAAGTGGAATTAAAATACCATAAGTGGTGTCTTCTAATGATGTGAATAATGGCAATCATCTGCAGGTAAGGGTGCATATAAGCAGATTTAGGCTTGTGCATAGCAAATCTGAGAAAGGATGATTTGAATAGGATCTTCAGGAGGTATTGCAATTGCAAGTTAACTGAAGGAAAGCAATTGTCCTATTGACCGAACAACTAGTGGCTCGTTATCGATTACCATTGTGAGTATTAGTCATCAGAATGCATTTTAAATCTAATGAGTATTCTTAATTTAATTTTGTCGCTTAATCTTTTTTGATAAATTTTACTTTATTTGCATTAAAAAAAGAAGATTCTCCATTAACAAAAGACTTGTAACCGTCAATGAGGTAGTTACACAGACAAAGCGCTTGACAAATAATTGAAAAGGCTATTTGATTTAGGTGTAGATTCCGACCAGATGCAAGTGTGTAGTTTCATCAATAAATTTTTTTATTTGCTAAATACAACATAAACAAATAGAGGTAATCTCATCAGTTTGCTTTAAGCTGTAAGGACGGCTAATCACGGAACTATGTCAATCGGTAAGTAAGTTGAATATTAAAGACAATGAATGCCACACCTTTGAGTTTGAACTTCAATTCATGAAATTTGAACGTTAGGACACTCGATATGAAAAAAGGGCAAATCAGTGCTTCCATAATATAAACAAAGTAGGACTCTTTAATTATTGACTCAATTCCTTTCATTGTTAATACTTCTTTCAATTTATTTGCTGTTCGCCTTAAATCAATGCTACCTAATCATTAGAAAGGGCAAGAAATCTTGCATTAGCCAAAGGCAGTAAACATATTAACAACATTGTAGCAATTTTGCTATCCACTATAGTATGCAAAAATCGATTTTTACGCTAACCCTCCCACAAAATATATTCTTACAAATAACTGATGTTCTTTTCATACCATAATGCACTCCCACTGGTAAATTTAAATTTCAATTTGCCGTTTGTCATGTTATTTAGATCGTCCATATTTAACCTAAAGGCTTAAGGCCTTTAGACCCTGCTAATACGCACTGGGGTTAAGTTACAATGTTTTTTAACCTACTCCCCCTAACTGGAATAGCCCACCAACGCAGTATTCCAACCAATAGAAAGAATAATGCAGGTTCTCGTTACTACTATATTGAACACTCCGTACCGTCCGACCCGAACTAAGTATCAATAGCAATCAACAGTGGTACAGAAATCTGTTCTTAAAAACGTCAAACACACCAATTTGCGTAGCAGAAAGGTTACTAGTTAAAATATAAATTAGTTTATTTTTTACAAAGTTATTCATGAAACGTTTAACACAATATGCATTATTTATATTCATTTCATCTTTGCTTTGCTACTTAAACACGGTTAGTAACGAATATGAATAAGCAGTATAAACTCAATATTAGCCTATTAAGGGGTTATTCTGGTCTAGAGACAT